ATATGTATATATATACAGAAGGCACACTGACAACCAAAGTGAGTATTCCTTATTGTCGTTGTCACAATACAAGAACTGTCAAACAAGGCAGTGGCACTTTCTCACAAGTTGAGTTTGCATAAATGAATCAATCTGTTTTCAAATAATCATCACCGCTCAAAAACTGAAAACTACCGCTGTCAGGTTACTTACTACTCAAATTTGATGGTAGTTGGTAATGTGAGGAAGAGGAAGGCAACGGGGGGGAAGGTAACGACTGTGTAGGAAGGCGGACCGGGGCCCAAGTTGATGTTGTGGATGAGGACGCCACATCTACAGCGGAAGTTCGGACTGCAGACGCTAGTGCACCCAAAGGCAACTGACTGCTAGGCCCTCCGACGTTGTGGCGCATCTGAAAAGCGTTTCAAAGGAATTTCATAAGCACGTAGGAAGCAAGTGCGTCTTATGAAAAAGGACAAAACTTAACAGTCAGCTCAATCCAGTTTCTCAGATTTAAACATTGTGTCAAGATACGTTGGTCCAACCTGCAGTTTCGTTCATCGAAGATAGAAGGGACGATATTGAAACGGTTACGAGTTAAAGGTAATGGCCTAATGAATTCGTTGACGTCGAATCGCCAAACTCTACTCACGATGGGAAAAGGTGAAGGCATTGAGGGCAACAGTTTCGATGCAGGCGCACCACTAATGGAGTGACGAACCACATGAAGCTCCCTTTGATCGGATGATGGTGCCTCATCGGTAGAAGCGCAAGCCACGAGCTACGGAATCCTAAAACAATTCTAAGCCCCTTGTAACCCGCAACCCGGGCATTTGATTTCTGATAGGTGGCTCCGTTGGAATTTCGGCAAACCCTGTTCAGTCCTTGCCACAATTCAATTCGAAGGGCCATCAAATGTCAGGAAACGCTGCTTGCGCGTAGTGGGTGTAAAAGCATAAGGAATGAGGAGGTACGCATTTACATACGAGAGTTTTTGGCAATAAGCAGCAGTAAATCAATCACGCTTAGTATTTCACTGCAACATTACTTACTTTCGACCGCTATCCGTGACGGTTTTGCGTCGTTAGTCCGTGACTCCCACCGTAGAGGCACGAGGTTGCGGTACTCTATTTAGGCCGGACACCAAGGTCAATGATGTTTCCAGGATAAAGTGGAAGTTACGTGAGCAACACAATACGTTTAAAAATGGAGCCCAAGAGCGCTTTCGGTCTGTTTGCTGGGGGATATTTTTTGTCGTGTTGGTTATCCCAGCCTGACGGTGAAGTATTTTTGTCCAGGGCTTAACTTTGTCAATCTGATGTCAATGAGTGATTTTGGTGTGTTAGGGGAAACGAATAGTGTGAAGTGCCGTTGCAGGCTTCTTCGCTGGCATTTTTAATCACCGTTTTTCTCCGCGGGCTTTTTATAATCAGGACCTCAAGTTTCATTCAGGCGCACGTAACGCTTGCCCTGAGTGATGGCGTGATTTCCGCTTCATTACTTGTTCTTAATCCACCTCCTGTTTTATTTGCAGCGGTTACGCTCCAACTGCAGTCACCTAGGTGGCCGATTCTGACATTAGATCAATAATACTCAAGTGCTCCAGTTTTTAGATGAAGTGATTCATCCTAGATAGGGAAACTAGTTGCACTCTGTAGGTTGTGCTTGTTAGTACAGGTTCTTCATATGTCGCAGGACCGTCTACCTTGTTTCTCTTCTGCCCCTCGCTGCAGCTTGAAGCGGTCCTAAGTGGTCATCATGTTACTTGGTAGCAAAGTTTGAAATCACTGACCAGTAAACTCAGTCGTGTTGACAAATTCTGCCTTCCCAGATGGGGATGAGACCCGTCAGTGTTTTGATACTTAGAAACGATCTAGTGGATGATCACGCAACCTATTCACACAAGCCCCACTCCAGTGTCCCCATAAAATCTCCTACTGTATCTAGTCATGCCTTCTGGCGGCGCATCACCGACAGAGAAATTTATGCACCTACTTTTTTTTCTCATGTCCATGAATGTTAGCTCTCGAAGGATCTGTCACCTTTTTTACTATATACAGGTCCTCGCTAACTGCACGTACCTGTTTGGTACCCACCTCTCAAACTCTAAAATATTCACTCAATTGGTTTTATTATGATTGTCTCCATGCCGTTGCTCCGAATAATCGCATGCGTGAACCAGTCCAGAAATATTTTCCCACCATACCGGCCCAATCACTTGTCTGCCCGCAACTACTGTAGAACCCTTTATCGGTAGCGCGAAGGACACTCAATAATCCAGAGACAAACTGTCGGATATACCTACCCGGGTTTGTTTCTTCTCGAGCCCAGTCAGAACGGTTGACAGCACTTTTTCATTTCATTTCCGAACCTCTTGGTGACTTCGGGTCTTTCATTATTGTACCTCTAAAAGCTCCTACTTTCGAAACGAGGCATCATTCAACAGTTCCACATTACGGTCGAATTCCTTGATTCCTTCCGGAGGATGTGCGCCCAAATTAGCCGCTATCGTGGAGTGCCCTTTAGGTCTCCTCCCATTTGTGGATACTTACTCATCTTACTGGAAACTAGCATATATTCACTATATTAGAGACGGTAGGTCCAAACCCTAGTACTTACCACCCCAATTGTCTGAGTTCCTGCGATTTTTGGTGTGTGGTCTAGAGAACGATGCAAAACTGAATGGTTACCGAAACGCGTTCAGACGCAATCATTTCAAGGAAGTTGTTGGAGTATGTCTCACAACTATAGTTAAAAGTAAATTATGTCACGTGACATATCGAAGGATTTCGATCAGTCAACGCATGCTAGTCACTGCAAAATGCCGACCACACGCCAAACAAATCTGTTGAGGGACCCGCCAAACTGTGTGCGCCACGTCATCGTCTACAGTAATACCCCAGTCGTAAAAGGCGCGAGGTACACCCTAGCAGGGTTGCATGAAAAAAGGCTTGGTGGAAAAGCCATGTGTCCTTACGGAAAGAGTTCAAGAACAAGGTGTCTAGAAGTCAAAACAGTAACGAGCTTAACAAATCTGATCACCATATCGGACACCATCAGCAGAACTGACCCAACGCCCTTTACGAAATCTACCCCATGACAGTCCAGCTTCAGCTAAACAGTCTGTCGATAAAACGAACAATCGTCCTCCAGTTCTCGCACAATCGTCCTGTTGGGTCCAAACCGGATCCGAACTTTGCTCTTATTAGAACTCATCAGCAGTGCACATCCAATGGCCGTGCCGGGGTTTAAACCCCGCACATCTGACACGCGAAGTGAGCATGTTATCACCACTCCACCAGCGCACGCTGGGCTCATCCGGATTTTTACGTTTGAATGGCCGTGCGGGGTTTAAACCCCGCACATCTGACACGCGAAGTGAGCATGTTATCACCACTCCACCAGCGCACGCTGGGCTCATCCGGATTTTTACGTTTGAACAAGTGAACGTGTTCGCGCTTGAGTGATGTAAACGGAACGTCGATCGAGGCGTAGAGCGGTCCGTTCACGTCACTCAAGCGCGAACATGTTCAATTGTTCAGGCGTAAAAATGAGTGTGTGTGTGTGTTCTACAGAAACCCGCAACCACCAACACCTGATATTAAATGACAGCATAAATGCCACTAGGGTCGGTTGAGTGCCGTTACTTGTAGGATTCCTAACCACGTGCAGGAAGAATCACGTGGATCCCATCAACGAAGGCATGAAAATCCTATGGTACTCAGTTTGACTGTATCCGCTTTCACTTTGCACATCCATGTGATGACCTTTCCCCATATCCTTTGTCAGTATGTGTTCAGAATGAAGAACGGATCCTCTTTTGCTAGACGGTAGCACATGTTCTAGTCACCTTAGCCTGAAAGGCTAAGGTGCTGCTCCAGTGATTCTGCATCGTTACCGAGTACTTGCGTAAGCACTTATTTGCGCACATGCCACAGTGAGCTTAAGGTAGCTCAGTGATTAAGGCGCGAACCCAGTGACTGGAAACTTCATGGTTCGAATACCACCCAGGTATACCGACTGCTCCTGTCAATGTTTGACAAACCTTATGTTCTTGTGACTCCTCAGACAGCACGGCAACTAGGCAGCGAGTGTTACATCTGAATAATTATTTTCGTTTGCTGTGGTTAGGTGATTCCTGATACCGCTAGTCAGTTTTAAAAGCGTTTAGGGTCTTCAAATTGGAGGAGCCAAGCATGCTGCAAGCGGTGCTGACTTTTCCCGAGGAAGGACGGGCTAGAAAGGGTCAGACCTAAAACCCGCACACTCCGATCGCTCAAGCGTCGCCAGTGACTACCGACACATTATTCAGTTCGGTCAAAATATTTTTAAAACCAGAGTTTGGTGCTGTCATAAAGGCGCCTACTGTGCGCAGCCACATTGGGAGTGAGACAAGACTGTCTTACTCCATGCGTCCTCGGGTGAGGCCAGCACCCTGAGGCCAAGCAGGCTAGACCATTGAGTCATCTGTTCCAAGTAGAGTTCACAGAGGAGGCCCCACTGTCCGCTGTCTCGCGGGTCAGACTTTTGAGTTAAAGGCTAAGTCCAGCATGGGTGCCCGCTGCCTTGTGAGTCAGACTTATGAGTCAAATGCCCGAGGTGGGATGCCTCAACTAAACCCCCTATCTCGGCATGGGCAACCGGGAAGTATCATTTGCCTGCACGGCTCCATGTCCACCGATGTTTCTCCCCAACCACTTTTCACCACTCAAACGAATGATACTGGGTTATTTTATTGTCAGTTATCCGAACAATGTGTCTTACGTACCCCGGTACCCAGTAACAATAAACAGAATAGCACGCCAAATCCACGAGATCCTTTCTACGAAGTTCTTAACGTCCCAACTATAGGTAAAATTGGAAAACAGGTAATGCTCGCTGAGACCTTATGCTCTCCTAAAACTGATGTATGCTGCGTTTGTGAAACATGCATACAAGACCCAAGCGTTGTCATGCATCACAAAACGGCTAAGACGAACTCAGCCCTTCTACATTTCTCTCACCGTGTGTTTGGTGATCCGGAATCGATTGTTCAATGCGAGTTAGCTCAGTAGCTAGAACATGAAGTTACTGACCGGAAGGTCCGTGGTTCCCAACAGACCTCCGTATCTCGACTTCTCCTGTCTAGGCTTGGGAAACCTGGCAGTACCCCAGCCCTCGTGCTTCTTTTGGGTAGTATGAAAGCTAGACACCGAAAGGGTGCTCCGGCTGGACAATTTTTTGATCGATCGCTTGTGGAATACATGGCATTGAAGTTGCACTCACCCCCAGAGCTGATAGCGCTTTGTTCGGTTGGTTCCCAATGAACGATCGTCTTTACGTCACTTGGTTATCTAACTCAATAAAGCCTCTCGGCATACAAAACGGTACTTGTTTGTAGTGTTGGCGTATCACCACCACCATCATCAAAGACAGAAACATCAGTGTCGATACTGATGCTTCACTGCCTTACTAACAGCGTACGAGCAAGAGCCACCTGATGCTTCGCTTGCTTCGTTATGCGAATATTGAAGGTGGCTGAGTAGACAGACCTTCGGGGTTCGAAAACAGACTTCGAAGTGTTCAGGGTTGTAATTGAACTCGGACGTGCAGAAGCTGCAGCTGAGTGTGATGCGAGGCGAGCAAACGGTCGGTCTTAGAGTTGGGACCTGCGGAGAAAGTACTCAAATTTGGGTGGCGGGAGGGTGGAAGACGGGGAACATGGAACTGTAAGAAGGGAGGCGTCAGCAGTAGCATGTTTTCGCCTACCCGCCCTGATGTATGCAGCAAGGCAACCCGGCTGATGGCACCACGCGACGGCCGATGTGGCATGAGAGTATTGTTATCTGTAAACGTCATAGTTGTACGATGGCTGGGATACTGCCAGGGGGAACCACACCTAGACAGGAGGATGATTGGGGTCTTCAGCCAAAGCTCAAAAGCCTAACCGCAAGGCACAGGTATTGGGTTGGAAATGCAAGTACATTGCTAGCTTTAGGTGACACGTCACCACACATATCCCAACCCCCAACCCGGGGGAGGAAGGAGACTGTGTTCGTCAGACCTCTACCCATGGACCAACCTAGTATGACAATCTGTGAGTGTCGCGCGGACATCCCAGTATAGCTCAATGGATTGCCGAGGTACACAGACCACCACACTGCGGTAAGGTCCAGTCTCTTCGTGTCGGCGTATGCCCCCATCTCCGAAGAACTAACATGGCTCAGTACTATCGACCTAAGCTAGCTCGACATCTCTCTACAGTAAATCTGCACTGCATCCGTAGCGAGCACTTACTACCGGGAATAGCCGTACACTATACCAAATAAAAAGACCCACTGGGTATAGGAAAGCAGCAGGTAAGCGAAAAAAATGGCTCATTAACTCGCAAAAACATCGACTGGAAAGATGGACCGAACACTTCGAAGAACAACCTAGCTGGTCTCCTCCAGCACAGCCTGTGGAGATAGTACATACGGGCGAATGGAGTGTAAACCATGATCGTTCGTCGGAAGAGAAAATAAAGTACGAAATATCAGTACATGGCTGAAAGGTTCCACCACCATCTTAATGCGGTCACCATTGCAGTCGACGACGTTAAGTCGATTGACGCCACCCCCTTATGTATGCGTTGCGCAGTGACAGCAAGCCTACAGGTCCTTAGGGGCGAAAGAGCTTATGGCCACCTGTTGCATCCACCGTGAGTGCTTCACCCATTACCACTACAAACATGTCCCTATGATACTTCTTCCGCCAAGCATATTATCACCATATTAGGTTGCCTGAGCCCTAATGACACTCGCCTGTCAAGAAATCGTTCAGCTGTACCTGGATGCCATGCCACCCGGAGGGAACACGAGGGCTGGGATACTGCCAGGTTGCCCAGGTCTAGAAAGAAGTCGGGGGGCAAAGATCGGGTTTGAACCACGGACCTTCGGGTCGGTAAATTCACGCTCTAACCAGTGAGCCATCTCGTCCCGCCCGTCGAGTCCGGAAACATGCACTCATGATTCCCAACATGTCGATAGAACAGAAGGCCCTTTAGGGCGGTCTACTGCAAACAGGGACGTTTTATCAAGCAGTGATGTGGAGGACCTGAGGTACTGACAGACTTAAGCTTACCTACATTGAAGCGTCTGACGTTTCAACGTCTGGGCCTGTATCATTGACGGTTCCACGTTACTTGCTTCGCTTGTTTTGATACTAATATCTACGACGAGCGCCTTGCCTCAAAGACCCTTACCTGGCGGTTTTCATAAATGTTCATTGGCATATACTTCATTGACTAGCGTCTTTGCTAAGCATTCAGCGTCACACTGAATGTCCACTCACGTATTGGTCGTAATTCCCGCATTTGTCCTTATCTCCATTCAAAAGTTTCACTGCGAGCAGAAGTCCACTGAAATGACACGTTACCGATGATTTCTCGAATTTCCCGACCTCAGAGACACTGCTGGTCGTCAAGCTTGAACAAGATAATATGCGGTCCACCGGTATGGTGGATGCGATTCGCCTGTTCGGGGGCCCCATGTTACCTTAGGGGGCAAACAACAAACCCCAATAGATACTCGAGACACCGAAGACAGCTTCGTAGCGTCGTAGCACTTGATGCTTGAACACTTTAGATAGCATCTCCCATCGCAGTTTTCAGGCTGAGTGACCCGCATGCGACCACCCTGTCTTTTTAATTAACCCAGTCGGATAATCTAACCAATGCTTCATCGGCTGCTCCAATTCCTACACAGCAGGTCGGTGGTACACAACGTTCCAATCCTTCACCTTTCCATACCTCTCCCGTCCCGAACAGGACATCTGCAAACGGTGAGAATTCTTTGTTAAAGGCATCCCCGCGGTGTCGATCAATTACTGTCGCCAAAGGCAGCACCTACTTTTTGGACGGGACAAAGGTTTTAACGCATTGCCAGAAAGCTCGAGTTTACCATCGGAAATGTGCATGCTTGCGTACGTATGCTTAGTGTGTACGCTTAGTTTGACAATATGTTGTATTTCTCTCAGAAGGATCAGTACTTTCATACGGCGACCCGGGCAGCAAGTGTTGTTGGATTTTAACATCTTTTCCTTCGTTTATTTCCTTTCTGGGCAGTAAGTGCTGGTAAGGCCACCTAGCTGGACAGCGAAACAATACATAATCAATCTTCTGGCCCCACAGTTGCCGAACGAAAGCCATGTCATTGCCTTCTCCAATCCCAACCAAACGGACAAGATCTCCCTTCAAACCCTGTGACAATGATAAGCAATTTGGCGAACCGTTCGAATGAGGTACAGGAAGAAACTACCGAATTTTACCGGCGTCCTCTACCGGAGCTCCGGTACCTCTCATGCTGACACCGTTGGTCACGGGCTTTTCGATCGTTAGATAGGACTTGAGTTGGCATCGCGTTCGTACCGAGCTTACCGAAACACTAATTATTAGTGTCAGGCCATACATATCTGGAACATTCCGCTCGAACCAGTGGTATTCACTGAACCCTCATGATTTGTCGATCAGTGAAAGAGGAACCTCCACAATTAGACTAGAACGTCACGAACGGTTTCTAAAAAACCGGAGGAAGCGCAAAGCGCTGAAGTGGGGCCCTTTCTTTGTTACCTGTGGAAGAAGATACCAGAAAATATGCATGTACATCAACAGATTTATTCAATAACAGAACCGACTTACTGGCAGTTGGAGCTGACGAAGGTAATCGTAATAGGATTCGCGAATAACCTGAGCCTCTATGCAACGTTCAAGTTCCGAATGTTCGGTCTCCGCAAGTTTGTCACGTAACATAGTTTCCTCCAGTTGGGTGGCTTCTGACTCGTTAATAGCTTTGGCGATTAGATCAGGCTCAGCAAGCTGCATGGATAAAAATCAGACTGCGGAAGGTCACTTACGCTAGGTTGGTAGTTTGGCATCCCTAGTCCGTAACCAAATGATGGATTGAACGGGTCAACAATCGAGTTATAATGAACTCGGCCATGATAGCTCAACCGTATTGGGAATTCTTTAGAATAGTCCGCATGAAAGACGTTGATAGGTTCCACTGAGTCGTAGTATATTTCGACAGGTCTGTTGTACAGTTCCGCAATAGCTTGTATCTCAATATGATTCCCGTAACAGGTGATATCGCGTTTGCGGTTTATGTAATGCTCGAAGTCCTCGGTGACGTATGCGGAGAAATGTTCTTTGTTCTTAAGCTAAAGTAATAATTGTGGTAACCCGAATACATTTACCATATAGTCAATGACCTGATTCCGAACGACATCGTGCTTTTCTTCGTCGCCAAATATTTGGTGCGCTAGGATGGGGGCATAATCGTTGTAACAAAATAACATACAGACACTTCGGAAAAGACAAGCACCATCCGCCTGCACCTTGATTATTTTCCAGCCTTTCTTCTCCACAAGAAGCTTTTCCAGATTAGTGTCATCAGACTAATAGAGAATCCATCAACAGATGAGTACCAATACCTGTACAGGAGTGTTCCGAAGTACATGTGCGGCCGCGTAGTACTCATCTTCACTGTTGTTGCCGTTTTCTTTGTCGGGTATCGGTGATAACACAGGAGTAGACGTGGGTTCTCGAGAAGCTCCGCGGAATTCGAATGAATTGCCCAGAGCTTCGGGCTGCTGTGCGGCGACGCGCAGCTGTGTTCGGTTAAAGTGAGGAGCCGGCGGATAAGTCGTACTGTCCGGCAGCGTGGACTCCATCTGGTGGCTTGGCCGGACTCGGGATCGGTGCACAATGGCCTCCTTCCGTTCCTCCGGAAACGCATATGGCTTGTAACCATGACCATGGCGACTGTGTGTCGGGCAGACCTCAGCTCCTTCCCACTCGGTTTGACGATCAGGCTTTGGCCTATCTTTGCGGTTCTTAATCGTCATTGCTTCACTGCTATATGCTGGGTAAATTGATAATTTCCCGATGATGTCGTCGACAAGATAATCAATATGCGCTTCAGACGATTCAGAATCGCTCGACGCACCAGAACCACCGCCAGACGAGCGCCCGCCCTCAGCTCTGGACACCATTGCGCCGGGGCGCCATTTTCTAAGTACCTTGTCTTCAACCATTCGTTCAAGATTAAATGAGGACTGACGAGGTAAAATGGTTGCGAGTCCAAATCTACTCATTACTATGAACTCCAAAGGTTCAATCCAAACAGCGGGAAATTCGAACTACGGCAGTACGGATTTTGCGCGGCCACATGAAATCATGCATTTTGTGATGTTCCGCATCTTTCTTTTGCTACCATTGTACCACTACGTATTTTGCCAACTGCATGAACGTTTCTGTTTGAATCCGAAAAACCACGAAAACGCGCTTTTACACGGTGTGAACATGGTCGTGTGCTTCGACGTTCTCTCCTGATTTCGCGCGCGCCCACAGCGGTCACGCGCGAGGTTATGTGCTGACTCTGGCATCAAAACATTTCAGACTATCTTCGGAATTTGTGTGAGAAATGTTCAAAAGGAGACCCCTGGACAACCGTGATTGGACTATTACTTATTCGCTAACCTGGCCAACGAAAAAACATTTTTAAAAAGAACAGCCCCTGGTGAGTCAGTTCTATTTGACCCTCTTTAACTCGAGCTAGCGTTATTATTTTTTTCCTCTGCCGCACACCCCCGCTAAAGTAGCTTTTTGTGTGGCCAAACCATCGCAGCAACATGCGTTGTTGAGCCCAGTATCACCCAGCTCTCAGATAACGACCCGTTTTTTTGGCAGATAGTGTACTGCTGACGGCTTCCGCAGCAACGACTGACAGCAAGTTGTACGTATCCATAACCACTCGAGACGGCCTATAAATTCAGACCAGCTTTCAGGCAGTTTTAAAAAACGCCTCGTTGTCCATCTTAATGAGGCAGCCACGCGTCTACTCACAGTTTGCGTTCGAAATATCCGTGTAACGGCCGTCGGAAAACAGCCAGATCACTTTGGCACAGGCTATAGTACTGTGCGAGGAGGTTCAGGATATCCAGGCCTTCTCCCTGTTCCACACGCACTAACGCGTCCATCAGACGTGTTGCAGGTCTATGTGCTGTCCTCATTTATTGTAGTTTCCTTTATTTGCAGACAACCTGTGTGTCAGCCGTGCTGCAGACGTGGCAGACGTGCGCGTCACTGAAGATGTTCACAAATTTGGTGAATGAACCACCTATGCATGTGAACATACCTTTGCCCAGTTAACCATACTGGTGTGGACTATTATTCCGGGAGCATCCATCAAGACATCCATTTAGGCTGGGAAAGCTTCACACCGACGCATTTCCCTCTGTTGAGTCCAGAAAAGGGTGATGATGGGCGTGACGCCGAAATTTGTCAAGGATAAACCTGATTTTACAATGTGTTCATGTGTCCTCCTCAAATAGAAGCCAGAAAATCATCTGATTATCGGAGGCCCTAATTAGAACCATTTTGTGAACAGAGTATAATTGGCAAACTGCTCTGACAGCAACGGTCCTTGAACAGAGAAGTTTGAAGGGCAATGAAGGGTGAGAAATGTTCAAAAGGAGACCCCTGGACAACCGTGATTGGACTATTACTTATTCGCTAACCTGGCCAACGACAAACATTTTTAAAAAGAACAGCCCCTGGTGAGTCAGTTCTATTTGACCCTCTTTAACTCGAGCTAGCGTTATTATTTTTTTCCTCTGCCGCAAACCCCCGCTAAAGTAGCTTTTTGTGTGGCCAGACCATCGCACCAACATGCGTTGTTGAGCCCAGTATCACCCAGCTCTCAGATAACGACCCGTTTTTTTGGCAGATAGTGTACTGCTGACGGCTTCCGCAGCAACGACTGACAGCAAGTTGTACGTATCCATAACCACTCGAGACGGCCTATAAATTCAGACCAGCTTTCAGGCAGTTTTAAAAAACGCCTCGTTGTCCATCTTAATGAGGCAGCCACGCGTCTACTCACAGTTTGCGTTCGAAATATCCGTGTAACGGCCGTCGGAAAACAGCCAGATCACTTTGGCACAGGCTATAGTACTGTGCGAGGAGGTTCAGGATATCCAGGCCTTCTCCCTGTTCCACACGCACTAACGCGTCCATCAGACGTGTTGCAGGTCTATGTGCTGTCCTCATTTATTGTAGTTTCCTTTATTTGCAGACAACCTGTGTGTCAGCCGTGCTGCAGACGTGGCAGACGTGCGCGTCACTGAAGATGTTCACAAATTTGGTGAATGAACCACCTATGCATGTGAACATACCTTTGCCCAGTTAACCATACTGGTGTGGACTATTATTCCGGGAGCATCCATCAAGACATCCATTTAGGCTGGGAAAGCTTCACACCGACGCATTTCCCTCTGTTGAGTCCAGAAAAGGGTGATGATGGGCGTGACGCCGAAATTTGTCAAGGATAAACCTGATTTTACAATGTGTTCATGTGTCCTCCTCAAATAGAAGCCAGAAAATCATCTGATTATCGGAGGCCCTAATTAGAACCATTTTGTGAACAGAGTATAATTGGCAAACTGCTCTGACAGCAACGGTCCTTGAACAGAGAAGTTTGAAGGGCAATGAAGGCTACTCAGCCATAGAATTGTTCTGATATTTTGATCGCGACACTTGCCCTCAGTGCACTGTGGGCACGATGCATAGATCTTACGACCGCTGACTAATTGGTTGCATTCTGCGAGCTTCTTGGTTACCAATATTTTTCCGTGCTTTGAATTCCCACATGTTAATGGAGGATTTCAAGGTACCAGTTGCTAGACAGTTGAATGGTGCCTCAAAAGGTGAAATATCATCAACCGACCAAATTGGCTGTCCTCAGGATCGTTGCCCGCACTGGACAACACGCGCGATTGTCCGCATTCAAATCATGAATAAGATAAAACTGGTTGGAATTGTGACCTTGAAACCTACGTTTTGGGCCCAGATGCACTACGGCTTAATTACCCTTTGATGATGTGGGTGACAGCGATGACTTTTTGAGAGCTATTAGAAAACATGTCAAAAGGGAAGCGATACAAAAAGGTTCCCCGATCCAGTTAGGGTAACAAGATCTGGGTGATAAAGTGGTTACCGGCGGCGTTCTTGATCATAAATATATCGATGTACCGGACAGAAGATGCCAAACGAAGCACCAGTTGAAGGCAGTAGTTTTCTGTTCCAACGCTCGCCCTTTCCGGTGGAATCTTCAAAACCATTTTGGTTGAAAGGCCTTTGGGGCAAATAATAATAATAATTAATAGTAATAATAATAATAATGTTTATTATAATAATTAAATAATAATAATAATGTTTATTCCAAACTTGTGAGCGGCATGCCGTTAGGCATGAGCGCGTTACGTTCGAAATCGGTTTCGTTTCGCCCCCGTGCAAATTCTTGAAAAAAAAATTTTCGTTGTTCTATTTATTCACAGAGTACACAAGAGTAATTGTTCGATTTTATTACTCTAACAAAACATTTGAGAGATAACCCTTTATATTTTGCGCACACCTCCTATTTTACATCTAGTCC